CACACACACACACACACACAGGAATGTACTAACTGTGTCTGTTTGTCTGTCTGGCTGTGACGTCAAAGTTAGCGTTGATTAAATTCGTGACTTCTTCTTTTCCTTCCGTCTCTTCTCCTTCCGTCTCTTCCTCCTTCCGTCTCTTCCTCCTTCCGTCTCTTCCTCCTTCCGTCTCTTCCTCCTTCCGTCTCTTCCTCCTTCCTGTCTCTTCCTGCTCCTCCCTTCCTCCTTCCTGTCTCTTCCGTCTCTTTCCTCTTCCTTCCGTCTCTTCCTCCTTCCATCTCTTCCTCCTCCTGTCTCCTCTTCCTCTCTCTTCCATCTCTCCTCCTTCCTGTCTCTTCCTCCTTCTCTCCTCTCTTCCTCCTCCCTCTCTTCCTCTCTTCCCTCCTTCCTCTCTCCCCTCTCTTCTCCTCCTTCCATCTCTTCCTCCTTCCGTCTTCCTCCTTCTCCTTCCTCTCTTCCCTCCCGTCTCTTCCTCCTTCCGTCTCTTCCTCCTCCTCTCTTCTCTCTCCTTCCTTCTTCTTCTCTTCCGTCCTTCCGTCTCTTCCCTCCTTCCTGTCTCTTCCTCCTCCTGTCTCCCGTCCTCTCTTCCGTCTCTTCCTCTCCCGTCTCCCTCCTTCTCCTTTCTCTCCCTCTCTCCTTCTCTTCCTCCCGTCTCTTCCTCCTCCTCTCTTCTCCTTCCGTCTCTTCCTCTTTCCTCTTCCTCCTCCTCTTTCCTCCTTCCGTCTCTTCCTCCTTCGTCTCTTCCTCCTTCCATCTCTTCCTCCTCCGTCTCTTCCTCCTCTCCGTCTCGTCTCTTCCTCCTCCTGTCTCTCCTCCTCCTGTCTCTTCCTCCTCCGTCTCCTTCCTCCTTCCGTCTCTTCCTCCTTCCATCTCTTCCTCCTCCCGTCTCTTCCTCCTCCCGTCTCTTCCTCCTTCCGTCTCTTCCTCCTCCCGTCTCTTCCTTCTTCATCTCTACAAAACACTTCAACATATATTCCTGACCAGTAAACAACCACAATTAATGTTTCAGCCGGTTAAAGTGTTTACGTCATCCGGACTAACTATTATATTATCCGGACTAAGTTTTATATTATCCGGACTAAGTTTTATATTATCCGGACTAACTATTGCATTTTCCGGACTAACTATTGCATTATCCGGACTAAGTTTTATATTATCCGGACTAACTATTGCATTATCCGGACTAACTATTGCATTATCCCGACTAACTATTGCATTATCCGGACTAACTATTGCATTATCCGGACTAAGTTTTATATTATCCGGACTAACTATTGCATTATTCGGACTAGCTATTGCATTATCCGGACTGACTATTCCATTATCCGGACTAACTATTATATTATCTGGATTAACTTATAATAAACTTAAATTAATCTTTAACTACGTCTTAATTAGTGCAAGATGAAGACTAACGAACACTCGAGCGAGGAGCCTTATAATTACTACTACTACTACTACTACTACTACTTTTTTTTGTAGACATGGCCTCCATCCTCCTCTAATAGCCTCCTCTTCGCTGCCATTTAATTACCTTAATATTAAATATCCTAATACATAAGTAGCTATCCTATCTGTGTTGAATTAGTCGAGCCGCAGATCTATGCGGCATTCAGTGACTGTAGCCTCATAGTCAATATCTGCAGCAGTTGTCGGCATTGGGGCAGAAGCTCTCGTTCCCCTGAGGCAGAGCAAAGCCGACCGAAGGAGAGAGAAAGACAGTCGACATCTCATCCAGGCTGTAACATAACTTTTGGGCTGCTGCTTCTGTTCAAAGATCACCTCCTCGAGTCTGGCGTAGAAACATCTTGCACTTGGTCCCATCCCACCAGAGGTTGTGAATACTAGAGGAGTGAAGCTGCCTTGATTAACGTTTTGAATTCTCTCCCCATATGCCCTTCTCTTGTCATTCTCGTTCCTCCTGTGTGCAGCATCGAGAGCTAAGTTACGGTGACATGCGGCCATTGGATAAAAAATCCTGATGTCGAAGAAAGCTCGCTGTCCCCGCGTCCAGAATTCTCGAGCACTGACGTCAACACGGGCTTTGTTAGATGTGTTTGAAGTCCTATGTTAGAAGATCTCACCATCCAATGGAAGGAGGGTCGGTTCTACCATGACATTCCGGCAGATTTCCTTCAACAAATTTGCTGTGAGATCCCTTACTTCGCCATGCCTCATGCATATGAAGCCCCTTTCTTGCACACCATGGCGTGATCGACGTCATAGGAAGAGCCACACACGCATTGGGAGGGCAAACCTTCTACTGGCCGACCGCACCTTAGAGCAATGGCATCTGTAAATTCTTGTTTATTGAGACTGAAACCATTTGCCCTTATCGGTAACGTAGTTAACCAGTTCGAGGCGCCCACCTCCTGTGCTATAGCTACTTTTTTTTTCAAATTCTCTGGTACTTGCCCCATCAGTTGCTGCAGCTTAGCACTTTGGCAGTGCTGTCGTTCTGTCGTAATGGATATTCGAATCTTGTTTACTTCACTGGTATCCACCTCCCCTGATGCGTTCTGACCCATTATGTGGTCAGTGAGGGCTGCCGTGAGTTTAACTGAATTTTGATGTTCGGTTGCAGCAATCTCCTCTGGATTGGTACTACTACTACTACTACTACTTTTTTTATTGGCCTCCAGCCTCCCCCAATACCTTATAAACAAGTCTCATGGTTAATATCTAAAATTTGGCATCAGTGACCTAATTTTGACCTCAAATTGACCTATAAACCTTGATGGCCTCTTATTATATGCTACCTTGTATCCTTGACCTAATCACGTAATTGGTCTAATCACCTAATTGGTATAATCACCTGCTGTTTACTGGCTGGTCATTCAAGGTAACAAACTGACCCACTTCTCTCTGAATTGTGTGGAAGGGAGACGGAAGAAGGAGGGTGTGGGTGGGAGGGAGCGAGGGTGTTGGTGGGGGAGTGGAGAGAGGGTGTAGGTGGGGGAGGGAGGAGGGGATGTGGGAGGGGGAGGGAGGATGTGGGAGGGAAGGAGCGAGGGTGTGTGCAGGACGGAAGAGGGAAGGGGTACATGAGAACGTGTGTGTGTGTGTGTGTGTGGGAAGAGTTGATGATCACCAGTGGGTAATCCTCAGGTGAAGCTCACACACACAGGAAACTGGTGTGATGAAAGAAGCCACGTGTATGGGCTTGTCCTTTCTGCCTCACACCGACCTTGGGGGCTTCCCTGTCAGCTGCCGCCGTCGACCTCAATGGGCCCTGATTTCCCTCTCATAGATGTGTTACGATATACAGAAGGAAGACCCTCGTCCCTCCTCATTAACACGTGTCGCCATGCATAATTAAATTTCTCTTTGTATAATATATAATGTGAATATATAGATACCTGGTATAATGGATCTATATACTGTATATACGTACGTTGGTTTCTACTTGTATATCGACTCACACACACACACACACACACACTACATCCTTGACCACAGGAGAGTCAAGACCTACCAGGCGCTGCTGACCCTGGCTATGTTCGGCCATTCCTCAAGTCCCTCTCCCCGACCCATCCTCACCACCGGGATATCAACATAATCAAAAGCGACAATTTCGTTTCGGAAAGAAGTGGGATCATTGTTGAACAGTGATGAACAGTGTTTTGTCCAGTGAATTCAGCACCAGACAGTACCAGTGAGAGCAGTGACTTACCACTGAGATAAGCACCCCTGGGAAATGACCACCATCGTCTGACCAGGAGGTGCTAATCAGTCCACCATGGGAACAACAGTGGGTCGGGTTCACACATGACTACGAGATAACACAACACCACCTGGCAGAATGAGGTACTGTGACACCCGAGGATGAGTCACTGCACCACGTGAACACCACACCACGCGGTGTCCCCATGACCACGTGAGGTTCTTTATGTCAACACCCGAGGACGAGTTACTACACCACGTGAACACCACACCACCTGGTGTCTCCAGGCCTGGGCCATCAACTGTAAACTATAATAATTGGTATGTTCAATCATTGTTCCTTCTTCTTTCAGTAATGAAAGCTCTTGTTAAACGACCCACCCACCCCATGTCTTTGTATGTAATAAGTCATTTTTGTCTAATGTATATTTTCAGCCTTCGGGCTACAGAACTTTCTCAATAAACCGTTAATTATTATTTCTTATTATTTTTAAATATATCACAAAGTTAAGGTAAATATTTAAACCAGGTTATCGAAATTCTCGGAAAATTAATCTGCTTAACTTTCTGGAAACTTGGTGCTTAAAAAATCATATTGAAAGGATTGGGAGAGAAGAGGAAAAACACAGCTCAATATTTTCTTTTAACCGTAAAGACAAACAAACACATCTGGCTGGGGTCTTGGGGGTCCTTATGGCGGGGAGGGTCCTTATGGCGGGGGGGTCCTTATGCGTAAATATTGTGTCAGGAATTGTTCAAATCTCTCTCTCTCTCTCTCTCTCTCTCTCTCTCTCTCTCTCTCTCTCTCTCTCTTTCAACACTTGATGACCGCCGCAAGACTATTACGGGTAATGATCCTTGAGGGAACAAGGTGGATCTCGACCTTGCCACTATACAGCAGACACAACCAGACTCAAGTGGTAGGTTAAGTCGTCAAAAGTCCATTAGCTCTGTCTTGACCATGTAGCCTGAGACATGTAACCTGAGACATGTAGCCTGAGACATGTAGCCTGAGACATGTAGCCTGAGACATGTATCCTGAGACATGTAGCCTGAGACATGTAGCCTGAGACGTGTATAGCCTGAGACATCTATTCTACTCAACAAATGTCGTATATTTTTTCTGCACAAACTTGTAGTTCTTTCCCATCAAATGTCACCACCGTTATCTCCTATTAACTCATTTCGTCTAACTAAACACGGCATTAGTTTTCAGATCATGATTCATTTCCTCTCAATAAATGGCGCCACTAATAATTCGTCTTCTCAATAGATTATGACCCATTGTTTACTTAATCTTCATCCCAGGTTATAAATGCTCGTCTCCCTTACAGATGGCGCCACTGTGTACGGTCTACGGCGACCACTGGACGAAGGTAAACACTGGTCTTCTATTTTAGTTCCCTTCCTCACCTTATTCTCCCTCAATTTAGTTCCCTTCCTCACCCTATTCTCCCTCAATTTAGTTCCCTTCCTCACCTTATTCTCCCTCAATTTAGTTCCCTTCCTCACCTTATTCTCCCTCAATTTAGTTCCCTTCCTCACCTTATTCTCCCTCAATTTAGTTCCCTTCCTCACCCTATTCTCCCTCATTTCTCTCATGCTATCTTTAATTTCTTTTCTCATTACTTCTTCATAATCTACTCTCTTAGGATCTACCTATGATTTTGAACCCAATTAAAGACATTACTTATGGAGGGTCACTGCTTGATGTAATATGGTCGCTGTAGGCAGGTGAGTCATTACCTCCTCCAGGTCTTGGGAGGTGAGGTTGATGGTTACCTGGTGATGGGTGTGTGGGTGTAGGGCGTCTCAAAGA